GTTGAACCCGCTACGTGAAGTTAGCGGAGAAAGGTAAGCCCCCCTGTAACTTTTGACTGACTACAGCACTAATTTTGAAAATAGTTCCGTTGATTAGCACTAATTTAGCACTAAATAGTGGTGGTATAGCGGAAATTAGTGCTCACATTTTTCCGCTAACTTCACGGACCTGACATGCAGAAGCAATCTGTCAACCTTGGAATATATTCTTGTAATTGGACGATGATGGATTTAAAATTTAAAAAATTATTATTATTAACTATGCAGATCAACGACGCTAATAAAAAAACGATGAAAGCTTCGACGAAAAAAATTGTCAACTTACAACTTTTTGCTAACGTAAGTATTTATTTACTGGCTAACGATTAATAAAAGAAATAATAGCATATGTAAATAACAAGATTCTATTCAAAACCACTAATGCTTTGTTGCTTTAATATTTCTATACGGCAATTTCAGGTTTTGATCACGTCCTACAACATTGTATCCGTCATGATGAAAACAATGAGTAAATAGACAGACAGACATACCACACAAATATACAATAAACTATCAACTATTTTGAGCTGTTACCAAGGCATCATTACTTTAACTTTTATTTCAATATTTATATAAAAATTGCAATACAAATATAATGTAATTCACCAATAAGCAATATTATTATTTTTAGATAATATATTATGTAGGTACGACTGTCTTTATCTATTGTCCATTACTCCTTTATTGTTCATTTATGAACATATAGTTATATACATAAATACATTTATCAGTAAATATTATGTATGTTATGCACTTCTTATGCTATCCTAGAATATTATAATTATGTATTAAAATTATCGACCACGAAGGTAAATTAACTAAGCCTTCACCGATACCTGAAAATGTATTCTCTTCTGTCTCTCACATACATCACATACAATTAATGTTACACAATAAAATTTTCGTGTAGTTATTATTCTTTTATTACAGTATCGTTATACTCGCCAAGCTGCGAGAACTATTTTTGTAGTTCATATTTTAGTGAAATTGTATAATTATTATTAATACCGGATGTTATTGTCGTATTATTTTTTTATTAATATATTATTATATTATTGTGTGGCTACGAATTACCACTTTTTTAAATTGTATACTGTGTGTGCGTTCATCGCCACACACACCTTGTAATATTGTGTTATTTTTCCGTGTCCTATGCGTGTGAAATTATTACCATTTTTCTAGGATAGATCTACCCCTCGAGAGACCAACTGGTCATACTATACATGCAATTGTGAGTACCTACTTGTAGCATTAATATATTAATTAGAATAATTGACCGGAATGATAAAAAATATAAAAAGTAAAATGGCAGAACGTTATCCTACGGAATATAAAATAACGAAATGTACCTAGTCGTTCAAACCAAAATTGTATGGAACTTAAAATTACGAAACAAGAAAAATGTGGAATGTAATATCACGGATAGTAATACCCTGAACTGCATAATCTAGGAACTCAACATCACTATACCTAATCTTAATTTTACGGAAAGTAAACTTTAGTAAATTAAAGTTTTAAGTAATTTAATAACAATAATAATAATCCTAACAATAGTACTACACTACCACACGAAGTTAGAATATTAATAATTGCTTTAGTTTTCAATATATGGTAATAATGTAATATCATTTTCACATAATGTTTACAATTTACATCATCCTTACTATAATAGTATAATATATTATATAATATATATAAATAGATAATATGTTTATTAGTGGCGTAGCTGCGTGAACCATTTTTTTTTTTGAGGAGTGGGCAAATATTAAATACCTCTCTTTAATATAATTTTTGAAAATGTTCTAATGAGGTTAATAAGTTCAAAAATAACCAAAAATCAAAATTTCATCTTATCATCTAAATAGAAAAAAAGTCTTACATTAAAGATTTTCTTTTATAGAACCGAACAAGGGAACTGAGTCCGATCGCCACATTAAACGATAATTCTGCAGCCATTAATTTGAAAATTTTGAAGCAATGAGGTTTTTATCAAATATTTGATCCAAACAGAAAAAAGATATTAGGTTGAAATGTTTACAGAGTTTCTTTTACTGCATTAACTGTGATATGCCAGTGTCTAATTGGTTTCGAGAATTGTGGATTTTTGTTGGAGTTGGAAGACGCTATTGACGTTATTGATTTATTTCTGATCATATTCTCTAACTTATTTTATTATCTTACTGAGTGGAAAGTGATAATACTCATAATCAACAGAAAAAAAATTCTAGACCTTTTGGACGTTACAGATGTAATATTTTTGAAGAACAAACACTTCCGTAATAACATTAAAATACTGTACAAACATCGTAACAGAGTTTTACAACTTACAAACTTATATTGCAATTTTTGCGTTTTTGTGATCATTGAATAGATTCTATTTCCAATAATGATAAGCTCATTCATAGCCTACAAAAATGACAATCAGCGCTTAGAGAACGTTATAAACAGGCGATATCCTTTGGACGTAAACACTTATAATGATTAATGAGTATTTTATTTTGTTTTACGTAGGTAGTAGGTACTCGAAATAATAATAGGAAATAGGAATGAAAACATTTAACTTAGTACTGACGATCGATGTATTATTATTGTCTATTGGTTGGGCGATAACTGTTCAATACAAAGTACTGACTGTAGCGTTTAAGAACGTCGGACATAATGAAAACCTTCAGAAAAGTGAAACTACATTTTTTACCAATATTTAAAAATATTATGATATTGACATTATATTATCGATATTAGGTATATTTCTTTATTAATTATAACACAGTAGAACTTTTTATCGTAAAACAGAAAATAAATAGGGCAACGAGCCCAAGTACGAGGCCAACATAGTCGATTGAGCAACTTTAATATTATGTACAGAACTACAGAGCAATATAACTCAAAATAATGAAAAGAACATAAGACATATAACCTCTAAAACCATGAAACTGTTGACTGTTCTCATATTTAACATATGCATGAGTAATTACTAATTAGAAACATCAGAATAATCCGTTTGACTGCGGTGTCTGAGTAAAAACTGGGAATAATCTGTACCTATTGGCTTTAAAGTTTATACTGTAATGAATTTTTCATTATTCGCAACTAATTTCATATAATAAATTCCTAAGGCATTCATTTTTTATATTTTGTTAACAATAATTATGATAGCGTAATAAAAATGAAAGAATGACAAAATTTCTAATTACAATCGTCCCACGCGGCTCGCTCCATCATCACAGATTATTGTATTTACCCCAAATTAAGTTCAATACAATATTTTAGTACCTATAATATTATTAGGTTATACTGTTATAGTAGCATTTAATATATGATAATGAATTAGTGAATATTATAAGTATCATAAAGATTACATCAAGGTTGTAGAAAATAGAAATAGGTACAACGGTGGATTACATTGGTACATTTTATTTTTTAGATCATGATCATGATGACGATGTCTATAAATGTTTTAAATCGATTTTGTTTGATCAACAATAACTTAATTTATTAGTATATTCTGCATTCTACAGTATAATATGTAAATACACAATGGACATTAAACTAACAATTTACATGGCAAATGACTAATAATAATAAAATAATTATTACACAGGGTAGGTGTATTTTAGATTCTGAGCGGAGCGATAAATGTACCTATTGGCTATTGGTATTAGGCTATTGACGCGTTTTATTTTTATTTTTGTGACTGTCAACACCTTTTACAGTAGAAATATTTCGATTTTCAACCATAATTTTGACAGTGAAAAATTTTAAGTTTAAAAAGTTAGTATTATTAACCATGCAGATTAATGACACTAATCAAAAAATTATGAATCTTTCAACGAATAAAATAGTCAACTTACATCTATTTGCTTCCGTAAGTATTCATATATTGCTTCAATAATAAAAAAAAACTACATTAGAACCAATAACCCTTTAATATTTTAATAATTCTTTGAAATTTCAGGTTTTGATGACCTCATACAACATTGTATCCGTTATGGTGAAAACAACATTGAGTAAATATAAAGACACACTAGAGTCGACATAAAAGATAATCAACTACTTTTCAAGACGTTGAGAGAATTTTAGATGCATAAATAATTTTATTTTAAGTGATAAATAAAATAACTCAAACTGATAGTGAGAAAATGAGCATATGTGGATGTAAAACTATTTTAACGAAATTATTCACCTTAACTTAGTAACTGTTAAATTTTATTCAACAGATAATATTTAATAAACATGTACTATATTAAATGTGGAGATGACACCTAATAGAATTTAAAAGCTTTTTACATCTATTCAAAAATTGATATTATAGTCATTAACGGTACAATAATTGATTAAATAGGTTATTTTGATATAGCAATTTCAAATATGGGTATGATATATGTGGCAGTTTTAATCCACTCATGTCTATAGTAACCTTGATTTGTTCCAGAGAAGCCAGTTAATAAAAAAAAAACACTTCTTGCTTAATACTTATTTACTATATTGGTGGTACAACTAACTGGACCATTCTATCAATAAAAATAAACATTTTTTGTTTATATAGTAAATATAGGTAAATACTTACCTAATAATTATATATTAAATATCTTTGAACACTAAGAATGACCTATCATATAATGTAAAAAAAAATAATTTAAAAAGTGAAATGTTTCAACAAATGGTGCAATATATAAAACAGGTAGGTAGTAAGTACACAGCAGTTTATTATTTTATCTAGATTCATGGATTCTTTTTGTGACCTTTTCCGGATTTTAAATAAATTAAATAAGATTTAAAAATATTTTTATTAAAAACACATGTTTATAATAATATAATATAGTTAACGAGGTTTAATAATTAATAAAAACTTAAATATTAATGAGTTTTAGTAACCACCGTTTTAACATCTCAATTTTCATAATATGATGAAATAAAATTATATTTTAATTTAACATGCATTCAGTTCATTGACAATGGATTATTTGTCTTCCTCGCTCAATTTTCTTGACTGTTTAGATTTACTTGTCAATGTTTTGTAAATAGACAAGGCCTATATTAAATAAAACAACAATTAATTCTAATTAAACTAAACTTCACAATCATGTTATTATTTAAACATTGTCAACATTATTTACCTGTGTCACCATTGATGAAACATCTGAAGTGTTGCTAGGGATAATAACTGTATTTGTAGATTTGGCTAATTTTCCAAAAGCTTCTACATATGATTCAGCTACTTTAAGAGATGCAGCATTATAACCATCCTAAAAGGAAAAAAAATGTTTTTAGAATCTATTGTCTAATAATTATAAGATTATAAGGTACCAATTGTTTTTTATTAGTATTGATTACAAAGACTATTTATGTCATACGTAATTTATTATTAAATATTAAATAGTATTTAAAACAAAACATATTATTATGTACTTAAACTTAACTGTTTGTTTAAGAGCATCAGCTATCAATTGTATTCCTTTGGCTTTGGCTTCAGCCACTGCTAATAAAGCATTGGCTTCTCCCTGTGCTCTATTAATTTGCTCTTGTTGGTCAGCCTCTGCAATTCATGTATTAAAAAAGATTTAATACACATTAAGAACATACAGATTCCAATAAGTTACCTGAAGCTAAAATGGTTGATTGTCTTTTTCCCTCAGCTACATTTATGTGAGCTTCTCGAATACCTTCAGAATCTAGAATAGCTGCACGTTTTTTCCTTTCAGCTTCCACTTGCATCTGCATAGCTTCTTGTACTCTATTAGGAAGTTTTATATCACCTAAATTAAATTAAATTAATAATTTACATTTAATAATTACAAATAACAAAAAAATAGAAGACTAAGAACATAGAAGATAAAAGTCTTACGAATTTCATAACGGAAACATATTAGTCCCCACGATGCACTTGCTTTATTCAGGCTTTCAACAATTGCAAAGTTTAAATTTTCTCGTTCTCGAAAAACTTTGTCTAAAGATATTTTTCCTAATTCTGATCTATCATAAGAAAATATTAGCTTTAATAAACAATAGTATAAAAGTTATAAATAACAATAAAAAAACATTTAAATAGACTTATATTGGTATACTACATTTAAACGTGGTAAAATGAGTGTTTCAATTTTTTTTTTTTTAACTACAAAGATTTTTTAATGAAAAAAAATTGAAAGAGGGTGTTATGTTATGATCAACTAGATCAAGTTTTATACAATTTTTATTAATATAATATGATATACTGATTCAATTTAGATTCATCAATTTTGTTACCTCATTGTGGTTTGAGCCAATTGAGTAATTGCAAACTCTGGATCTTCAACTCCATAACTTGCTAAGTAAGGATCATTGACTCTTAAATATAATACACCATCAATATTAAGTGTTACGTTATCTAAAATATAAATTAAAAAATAAATATTTTTGAATTAATTGTAAGATTAAACTTCATTCTGACCTAAGGTTACAGCGCTTTGTTTGGGAATATCAATGGCTAATTCCTTTAAACTTTGAACATAACCAACGCGATCTAAGAAAGGTATCAAAAAGTTTAAACCTGGTTCTAAAATTCGATTAAATTTACCCATTCGTTCAACAATCCATGCCTATAACAAAGTATAATATTAAATATTACATAAAAAAGTTGGGGAATAAAATGTAAAGAGGTGGCTAGTATCAAAATAAACTACTCATAAAATATTTTTAACTAGTAAAAATTGCAGTTGCTATCTGTTGCGTAAAACAAATTTTCATTGGTTTTGGACTTTAAAAATGTTCTTACAAGGTCCAAATTTGCTGAATTAAAAAAAAACATAAATGTTTAAACATAGATCAATTGGTTCAGGATTATAAAACTATATATATATGTATGTTAAAACTATCTTTGTACTAATGTCAGGTATCTAAGTCGTTTATATGATAGATTTGATAAAAAATAAAATAGAAGAACCACCAGACTAATTACTAGAAAATAATTATTCTCAATTCTTCATAATTAAAATTTTTTTTTTATATTTTCAGTTTAATTTGATGAATTTATAGTCAGTTTACTAGGAATATGTTAATTTAAAATAAAAAAAATTAGAGCTGTATATCTATGGATGTTAAAATAATTAATATAATAATATGTAGTCTAGCCTCTTGCTGTGGAACAAATAGAATTCCAGTGTTGAACGGATTACTACTTTTAAACCTTGCCAATGCAATTGATGACAGGATAGATGGTTCTCTCGATAACAGTCTTTGATGCTGCAAATAAAAAAAATTCATCATAAAGTAGGTAGTCACAAGTTCATCAAAAATTGAATATTTTATACAAAATCTAAATATTTTAAAGTCAACTAACAAGAGGACATTGTTTAAACGAACGTAAAAATGATAAAATCTATAATATTCTACTGCCAAATGTTACCTTTGCAATAGTAGTGAATCGCATAGGATTGAGCTTGCAAACGAACATGATTTCTGGTTATTTGAAAACAATTGCAGTCAATAGTTAAGAAAAATAATGATCATTGACTGTTGATCAAAACAATTATAAATAACGTGCGAAATTGTGAAATGAAACCGAAATAGTAAAATAGTAAATATAGTTATGCTTAGTGCTATTTTTCAAAGTAATCTTCAGGAATGGGGATACAAAAAACAATTATTGATAAAAAATAAATTGAAAACTTAAAAAGCCGCATTATCAGTGTCATGTTATCGGTTTGGTCAGTGTCGGAAAAAGCATAGACACATAATAATATTAAAAAATGTTGATGCTGTAGTCACAGATTCACAACCACAATTTAAGATAATAATATATTACTAATTTTGTTGCTCATACCGCAGAACATTCAACACGTTAAAGTTTTTTATTTTAATAATTGTGCAATTAATACAAAATTGAATATCACATCTCTGTCACTAAATTAAAAAAGTTTAAATTATTCCGACGCGGTCTGACATGATTCACTTTGTTCCGTAAGTTGGCCACAGTGGAAAACGTGATAGATATTATTATTGTTATCATCGGCGACGCTCTCCCCGGATAAAAGCAATAAACAAAAATTCTTAAAATTTTTCTTTTCCGTTCTAATTATTTTAAGACCGTACTCTCGAAGTCGTATTTAGTACGATTTACGAATAAAAACGATTAACGAAAACGATCGCAATAACATTGTTATTCAATTAATATTATATTAGTATTTTTGTTAGTGGCGTACCGCAATCATGCCGAAATATTATTGTGATTATTGCGATACGTACCTGACGCACGATTCGCCGTCTGTGAGAAAGACTCACTGCCAGGGCCGCAAGCACAAGGATAACGTCAAGTTCTATTATCAGAAGTGGATGGAAGAACAGGCTCAGAATTTGATCGATGCTACGACGGCTGCATACAAAGCTGGCAAGATCGGTATGAAGGGAGTATGTATACCGCCACCGAATATGGGCCAATCGGCGCCACAAATGTCTATGCCACCAGGTTCGATCATGCCACCTGGACAGATGCCTATGGGCGCACCGCCAATGATGTCCATGCCACCAATGATGCGACCACCCATGGGACAGATGCCGATGGGTGCGCCACCACCAATGATGCCCCCGATGCCACCAAATATGAGACCGCCTATGATGAGCAATCCACCTCCTAATGTCCAAGCTCAATAATAAAATAAGTATGCTTTTGCGTTTGATCATTCTAAACAAAACTGATACTCTCTAAATCTTATGAATTATATTCCAAACTGTTCTTATTTACATGTCATGAATAAATATTGTTTAATATACCTAGTATAAATAAAACAAATGTCTGGTGTTTTATTTAGTAATTCTTTCCAATTCCTTCAAATCAATTCTTTCAGTATTTAGTTTTATCTTATCATAAATATTATAATTTTAAACTTAGGTATATTATGTACACCTATTTCTATTTATTATTTTCAAAACAAAGCTCCCACTTGCTTAGGACTAAATATAGTAGGCTTCAACGCAAAGAATGTGCTTTACAATTATTAAAATATATTAAGATATACAAAGATCTAAAGGTTCTAAAGAACTGTAGAAAAATATTTATAAGTGATCATTTTAAATTGTTCACTAATATCTTTTCAACAAAAAACTTATTCATTTAGTACAAGTTATACTTAGTTAAATATTATTGCAAATACATACCACAAAATAGATTTTTATGTTTGTAAATATAAGTACAGTAGAATCCACTTAATTGGGTGGCTATCCATTTGTTCTCATTATCTGACTGCCTTAATTAATTGAATATATTCTTTTGGGACTCTACCAATTTGTTCTCTTTACACGGCGTCCCAATTAAACGGATTCTACTATATATTACCTGAAAATTTAAAAAAATGAAAAAATCCTAGGCAGTGTTTTGGTGTAAACATATTTTTATCATTAAGTTATCAATTCATCTATTGTATCTATATATGAAATGTACAATTTGTAATTTTGATTAGATACCTAATACATGTAAATAAATTACTGGGATAACAGAATTGGGAAAGAACTTAGTTATAGACTATAGTGTATTAACTATACAGTATAATACATCTGATTGGTAGGTACATGACAAATTTATTTAGAAGGTCTCTAGGTTTCTAGCTTGGTCTATTTCAGATGTCTTTGTGGGTATCAATTATCATACAGGAAGTTAGTTGATTAGGTAATTTGTAGGTCACAATCAATAATTCAAATTAATGGCAATGATCAATTTATTTTATTTCAGGTACACAAATTGTTGGTTTGCATTAAATGATTGTCATTAAATTTTAAATAACATATAGGTACTTTCAACATCAACAATACCTTCATAATAAAATGTTCAGTAGGTATTTAGTATTAATTATATTAACTATATTAATACTAAAATATATACTAATAATATTTAGTGTAGATTATGTACTACAACTAGTTAAGTAAACATTTTCAACTTTGATGTACGAATAATTCTGGTATGATTATCGCCTTTTTATATGGCAGTTTGAGTAAGATATTATTTTTTAATGTATATTTGTTTTAGTTCTGATTATACTCAATTTTTATAATATCTTGTATTAATTTAAAACTATTTGTAATAATTGAGATACTGGTCAATTAGTGTTTAGTATTTTATGATTAAAAAAAAAAATGTTAATTACACTTTTTATTGTTTTGTCGCATTATCTTGCTCTATCTATCTCAAAATCAAAGAAAAGTATTTTTGCTAGTGGTCATGAAAAATCTCAAGTGAAATAAATCTTAATATGTTATTAAAATATCTAGTGCAAATTAATTTTGACGAGTAATGACCAATGAGCATGAATTAAGATTTATATCTATTTGTGGTAGAGAGAAAAACAACTTACTGAACAGATGAGGTGCTAAAGTAATAGCATTTATACTACTACGGAATTGATATTATGATACTAGTTAGTACTTTTATACTATAGTAGGCTATAGTTATTGTACTGTCAAATTCAAAAAGTGATTCCCGAGTGTACACTATCTGTTACAAGATTTGTTCAAGTTAGGTTATTATAACTTAACTACTTAAGTCAATAAATTTAAAATTTATGTTATCAGTACAAACTACAAGTACGTATGTCAGGGGGTGGGTTGAGCCACTTTAAGGATTCAAATTGTACCGTCGCAGCACAAAGTGGGGGAAATTCGACTAGGACCTGTCGTTAGTCGTTACCGCCAATGTGCATGCGTAAAACGGTAAAGTTTTCTCATCTCTCCAGGCACAAAATATACCTATATAAGATACGTTTAGCAACTAGCGAGTTAAAATAAAAGGGACACTTATGGTTAATTTTGTGTTAGTATATAGTATTATTATACATTAGATACTGAAGGTGTTTAAAAAGCTAGAAAGCTTAGATGGATTTCTTGCATATCTACCCTGAAAGAGAGGTGAGACTATGCGTACGAATACGATAGATATTAGATGCATTATTTAAATTTCGCAGTTTTCATGGGGTACAATGTTTGATGACTTTGATTATTTTTCTCGGAATATAATATTATGTGTAAGCGTATAAGCCTTACGGCATGTCCTAACGCAGTGAACGCAAGCGAATTGCAATCTGACCAGTGACCATGCTGTTCGTCGCTAGAGCGAGCGACGAAATACAAGCTGTTGTGTTTTTCCCCGAGTTGCCTGCGTTACGTAGGACACGGCGTAACACTGCAAGTCAATATGGTCATTATTCTATAATCTATATAAACGACTAACGAGACTTCAGTTGAAAATCCATATTGTAACGATTTTATTATTCATTAAATATGTAGCAATTCGCAATTGATTTATAAACTCGACAATACAAACAAAAAGAAACGATAATTTTTCGTATACATAAAAAGTAAGTACATTTATTAATATAGTCAGCAATTGTTTTCACACTGGCGGTGTTTCTTTAGCCGCGTATTCGTCCAATGACCACCGCCAGACCCTGAGACGTCTGTGTTTTCGTGGGTCCGGCGAGCGCTCTGCTGACATCCGTGTTCCTATCACATAGTCGTATACCACTCACCCTGAAACGAAGTTTCCGTCGATGCCGTCATCGGACAGGAATAGCGGAATCAATTCCCGCGCCGGTAAAGTTGTGTCATCGTCAAGGTTCATCGCTCCATGAGATCGGACAGCAGCTGGGCGCCAACCGAGCCGCTAGAGGGTCTCACGCGTCATCGGCGACCCGCGACCCAGCGCTACGGCCGCTACTCCCGCGAGCTCGCCGGAGGTGTCCGGAGAACGTGTGCGGGTGACTTACCGCCGAGCACCGTACGGCGTACTTGCTCTCTCTCATGATACTCTCTGATCATTTTACGTAGCTACCACGTCATAGCGTCACACTGTTCGATGTCTTCGGCTAAGTGGACGCCATCGCCACGGCAGCAAGTAGCAACATAATCCGCGGACAACGTGTTTAATGCGTCTCCACGCCGCGCACCGCCGCAAATGAGTTTCGACTTTCGGTTTCGAGGAAGTAGAGCGCCTTGTACGGGTGCTACTGTCGAATCAAGCCAGCCAACTCACCGAAAGTGTTCTGCCAGCATGTCTTATTCATCCAGGGTTTTGCAACGCGTCGCCCGGCGGTCCGTTCTCAGAAGTCGCGGTGGATTCAACTGGCTGCAACCCTGCTGACGGTGCGTCTCGGTTGGACGACGCATCACTGCAAACAACCAATATCAGCGATTCAATGACTTCTTCTACGACGTTGTCGATTTTGGCCTTCTGCTGGTCGTTTTCTTGGAGTTCGAAATCACCTCGATGATAATATTGTCACAGATTAAATAAAACATAATAAATGTTTAATTTAAATAATTGTAATAATGTTTTTTTTTTTTTTATTAAAGAAATCAAAAACAAAACATATTTTATGCAACAACATTAAATTGAACAAGAATTGATTAAAATTATTTTACTATAATTAATTATTTAAACTAAATATTTAATCTGCGATGTTGTTGACGCCTCCATTACACCTGATTCCATAAAATACCCTACCCATTACTTTTTGTTCTGGTTCGTCGGTATGTTCTTCGGCGTAGAAAGTAAATTCATTGATTGGAGTCATTTTTTTTGTGCGGATACGACATGTAGGCAAATGGAACACAGTAGAATTTGCAAATGAACTAGATCTGACTTCCGACACCGAGACCGAGACCGAGAACATTGAAAAGGTCGAAGATGTTTACTAGTCAGGGAGTATGTTCATCGTTCTTACATTGGCCAGCCAAATCTACCATGCGATCAGTATTTCAGGTGCTTTTATTTTTCCAAAGACCATCAAATTGTTATTGATATATTATTGTATTAGTTTAACGGGGATTTCGGACGTTTCGATGTGTATTATTCTGTAGGTACCCGTTTTATACTTATGAGTGGTATTTTTCTGTAAAATATATAACATTTTATTTCTTACAGTTGAAAAGCACCAATACGATCAGGTACATAATATATATCATAGGTATTAGGTAGGCACCCATACTTCATAATGTTTCATTACTTTACATAAGTAAAAACTATTTGTAAATTTGAATAGGTATATAACTGATGTCTGGTAATAACAATTGTGTTACCTAAATCCTAATTTAATAAAAATGATTCTATTTTTTTATGTGTTAATAATAGGATTTAAATAGGTATTATCTTGTCAGTTGTCAGGCGTTGAAAAAAAAATGATTTTTAGTACTTTTAAGCAATGCTATTATTATTGGCAGTTTTGTTGAACAAATAATAATTTATCTTTATCAGCTAGTACCTTGTACCTATTCAGAATAGTTAAATAATTTCGTATTATATTTAATATTTATTTAGGTAACTATTTTTTTTCCTATTGATAGTTAGTGCAGGTATATTTTATATATAAAAATATCATAACATTATTGATAATACGCTGCCAGAGGTGATGGATTTTAGGTTATCCGATCATTTTTATTTTTCATATTATCTTCCTATGCTGTTCTGTTGTGCTGCAAATAATAAATTAGTCTTTAAAATATTATTACGAACTACCAAAACAATAAAAATGATACCATTAGGAATTGCACCTTATGTACCTATGTATTATATATTAATATAGGTACCTATATACATAAGATTTATAAAGTAAATGGTATATAACAATATCATGCAAGTACAACCAGTGGCGTGGTAAACTTGAAATATTTCAAGGGTCAAATATTATAATAACATTGAACTAACCCTGCAGCGACAATAAGCTGATAAAGGAATTCGCGCTGGCATATTCATTTTAATTTTTAACTACCTGTCATAGTTATTACCATACCAATAAAAACTTATACTAATACTAAATTATCACTTGTTGGCTTTTACCCACCCAAAACTTCTTAAAAACTCTACTTCTACACCCCATTGAGTACAAACAAGAGGCACTAAATCCTTCGAAATGTGTATAATATGAGTTTGTACAAGCCGCAGTTCGTAGGGTGTCCCCTCTTATGTTGCTGCAGATGAGCGGACAATTAAACGTTCAGACATATTATAGACGTGAGAAAATTAATTTCTTCTACTACAGGAACTAGAACAATTACCTAAATAATAATGAAATTTATTTTTTGGGTGATGCCTCTTAAATATCAACACACTAGATGTTACAATATGTATACATACCTAATTTGAAATAATACATTTAAATATTCATAAATAATTAAAAATAATATAATATATAAATAAGTTAGATATTTTGGACGATGTGACATAATATCAGGTACTATTTTGTACTTTTGATGTACCTTCCTAATAGAGTTTTTAGTTTTGACATCTTTATGAAAAATATAAAAGCAGAAACACCTCCGACAATTAGGCACGTGGATATATAACTAATTAAATAACAAACATATCGTCGATTTTAAGCGTTATCTATTGATAAAGTCAACACTAGCCATAAATTGTGAATTATTAAATTTTATTGTATGAAGATTTTAATTGTATAAATAAGCGATAATCGATAACGTGAACATAATATAGAAATTATAACAACTAACAAAAAGATAAATAAGTACGAACAACATGCTATTATTATTTCTTAAGTATATTATATAGGTACTAGCTGATCCCGTATACTTTGTTGCCCATTAAAAATACCAACTCTATATGAGACTCGATGGTGATAATGCGAACAGTATATTATGCCCGCCTGCTGTGGATGTGGACCCCGCTTGATGAGTACTTCATATAAATAATATGTTTTACTTTTATTTTGATTGCGGACCGATGAGCGCCTATAAGTGCAACTTAGCCACCTTGGTAGGCAATTTGTGAAAATAACATTGTGTGCAGGCTTATACCTGATCTACTCGATGAACCACTGCAGAACCAATAAACAAAAAAAAAATACCGATTTCTACTAAATATATTTATATTTCTCCTATAACCGTATATAAACAAATATTTCCTTCGTAAATCTCTGTTTGAGTAACTCCCCGAGTTGGACCTATCGTGTCCAATTGTGAATCTAAACCGTCCAGGGCGTCACCCAAACGCATACAAAAAAATTCATTCAAATCAGTCCAGGCATTTAGGAGTTCAGTGACACACACATCAGTAGAATTATATAATATGTAAAGATAATATTTGAAATTTGTCTCTATGTAGAATTCGGTTGGGTCAAATCGTCTATGTGTTAAATTAACTTGCATAGTTGCATCCAAAAGTCTGTGTGTTTAATTGTCCACGTTCTGAATTGTCAGTCAAGAGTTCAATGTTCGGCAGCTATACGTGTCTGGACACCATCCTTACTTACACCTTTAGACCTATGATCTTTATTATGACGACAGGAACAGTTTCGATCTCGCTCTTGATACTGCAAGTGGCGTATTGCTGAGGGGGGGGGGGGGGGCAACTGGGCAAAGTTGTCTACTCGAAATGCCACTGTTAGCCGAACGTACCATATCGCTTTCGTTGTCGATGGCGATAGACATGCGTCCAAACATCCTCCAACTGCGTATGAGTGGTGAAACGTGAACACACAGCCACTATATGAAGCATAAGGGTGCTCGAAAAACTGGTTGACCGACGGTGACTTCCGGTGGTTATCGAGGGTCATACGGGATTGACTAGGGTGTGAGTGGACGAGATTGAACTTCACTACTGTTCAAAGCCCGCAGCGACGTAAGCGAATAACGGTTAGACGGTGCGGTGCCCGAAAAACATCTTTGATCAATGCGTCAGCAGTAAGGATCTCTCAGGCGTCTGACGACGACTCTCCACATCGCAGTGTCAGTGTACCACTCTAATTACTATTGGGACAACAACAGCACGTACATTTCTCCTGGGGGCCTTGAGGAGTCCTATACTTACTTATTTCAAAAAAAAAAAAAAAATAATTGCGCCCATCTAAGTCTTTTTGATTAATATTTCTTGAGTTGAGTATTTATCATTTAGTAATTGTTACAATGTTACACAGGTATTTAATTTGATTAGGTACTTATTAAAATAGTACATTTATTGATTTTTAAGAACTGTTTTGATTTTCTGAAGATTAATTTCCATTTATTTATAACTGGGTTTATAAATGATATTTCCTATAATCCTATTTCAAATAATTATCAAAATGTATTAAATACTGAAATATATCTATGTGAGGTATAGGTACCTACTACTATATTAGCCATTGAGGAATAAAACAATTCAAAATCGATTATTTTTAATTATCATATATTTGTAAACAAATAACAAATAGTAACATTTCGAATCTTCAATGATCTGCAGTATTGCAGTAAGTAATTAAAACATTTTTGTATCATTTCCTTTGAATTATTCTCTGAATAAATTAAAATATAATAAACATTAAACTGGATATAAGTACAATGTATTTGTATTTTGTAGGTATATTATGTATTTATGTACCATAACTATACATTTTAAAATCTCCGTGAGCAACTTCATGTAAATTTGATCACGAATATTATTTATCTTAACGCTAGTTCACAATATAAAATCAAAAAATAAACAAATACGTTTAAGTACATAAATTATATTGAGAATTAAAATTTTTTCCACAGATGAGTTGACTAAATATTCGAGTCGATAATAATAATTTATAGCTAGGAAGTATATTTTATAATGTATGAAAATAATTACACGTCATCATTATATTAATTGTTTGGCTATTTTGCGTAGACAATAAGGTTTGACGTGTGTTAATCTTAAAATAACTTCATTACACTATAAAATAATGAACGGTTGGGTACAGTTAACGTCCTCTCTGCGTTTGTAAACACGAAAACATTTTTTAATTCATAAAAAAAATTAAATAAATAAATAATATTACCAACATTAATAATAAAAATTAAATTATATCAAATCTCAGTTATTTCGAGACATTCTCGAACTCGTAGATTTGTAAAGACTAGACGCATATACGATTATAATACATTAATACGCAAAACTATAAACTACTTATGTGTGTACTTATACAATACATATACAATGTCTAATAAAATACAATTTGAAACGATTCTTTACATACCATCATAGGTGGATTAATTAATACTATATACTATGCCTATGATGTGTTATTTAATTTAAGTTTATATTAACATATTGACAAAAGAGATAAAAAAAGAGTACAGAAATCGTTCGCAAATAAAAAACGTAAACAACAATTTGGTCCTGGCCAGTAACGGTCGATAGAAATACCCACGTCACATAAATTATGATATACATATTTTATTGTTTACGATAATATTATAAACTTATACCACGAAATTCACGAGGTTATAGCGAATATATATAACACACGCTCAAAGACGTATAGAAGTCGAGAGACTTCCTGCAGCAGGCCTCAAAAGGATAATAATATATAACTGTAGCAGACAGCACAAGGATAAAAATATAAGTGTCAGCGGCTGGCTGCAAATGTGCAGTAAAGTAACTACGTCGTCAAAGATCGGTCAAAGGGACGTTTCCAGAGCAGAACACGTGGGCGCGGCGGCGGACTGCAGGCCTTTTAGCGTGCGGCTGACAAGTGCCGAGGACCTGGGGACGACCGAGGCCCCGTGACAGTCCTCGTCTTCACGACAGTCTTCCTGTATGGTCGAAGCGAGCACGTTTGATTTTCGGAACGACGAACTGGACGGCGTTCGCCTGAAGTGACCGCTGGTTGCTGTCGACAGCAGCTGTGGCACCGGCGAGGGGCCAGCCCTTGGCGGCGGTGGTGGTTGCTGGAGCCGGACCACGGCCGATTGTTGAGCTCGCCTACCTCCTGCCATGTTGGTCTGCAACAAGAGCCGCTTGAAGTCGTACCGTGCGGCCGACCGGTCGTCGCCACGCGGCCGGTACCGGTCCGACTGACGTTCCGGTGGTCGCCTCACCACTGAGGTGGCCTGCGGTTGTGTCCGATGCTGTGTCGTCTGTATCGCAGTAGGGACGGCTACCGCCGCAGGTTGTTGGCCGAGCAACCGTTTTTTCGATTCGTGAATGGCCGCGTACAGGTCCATGGCCGACCGCCCAGACGCCGGACGTATGTACGGCTGCTGTACCGCGGGTGTACGGTGTCCGTTACCGGGGGGTGACTGGGGCATGGGTGTCCGGTGTTGCTGAGTCTCGTGCGTTTGCGGGCGTCCTGCAGTCGGGCTTGCGCGGTAGTCTCGTATCGGCGATATGTTGTTGCTGCTCATGTCGATTCTGCCGCCGCTCTGATCGTTCTTAACCGGCGTGGACGCCGAAACGTTCCGTTCGTGGCCGGCGCTACATTCGCGGCCACTGTTGTTGCCGTTCACCGACGTCGAGGCGAGTGGAGTTCCACGGTTTGTATCTAAAACGTGCACACGGAAAATCGGATATTACACACGCTGTGAACGTTTAGGGTTTTAGGTTAAGATAGATACAATACCCAAGTATCGTTTACCTAACCTTTATGGGCGAAGGATGTCGGAGAGCAAAGTGTATTATGTTTCTGTAATGGGATGGCTGGGACATCGATGGCCGATTTTCATGTCACGGGTGGGTGGGATGAGATTTCTAGTGAGAGGGATAGGGGAAGCAGAGAGTTCTGGTGTACCTATATATTGGACTTCGTGTAATTTGCTATGTAATAACACTAATATCATATAATATTATAGAATCAAACTATAAATAACTTGCGTCGAATAATACATATGGATCGAGGACATAGTAGACATTTATTTTCAAATAATATCTAAGTTTTTTTTTTTATTATATAAGAATTATTATTTATGCAATGTAAACAAGAAGCATAGACAGTAAATAAACGTGTTAAAGCAATACTAATAGAGTATTACATATTAATAGATGGGTGTGAGTGTTAATACTGTCATCAACAACACCTAATAATATTATAATAATATGTCCTTTTGCTTTATTATATTCAAGATTATGGCGTTGCCATTTTCTTTTAAGAATCACCATGAAGTGAATTGTATTGGTCATATATCAAGGGCTGTATTGGAAATCTTGTATAGTAGGTATTATATTGGAAGGCTTGGGTTCAATCTAAATTTGAATAGATACCATTCGATTAAAATCGAATTATCGGGTTATGATTATTTTATACTTTATTATTAAAATTATATTTTTAAATTCATTGAATAAGAGGCTATAACAGAGTAGTGACTGGAGGATATTTAGACGTGTATTGGATTGTTTTTTTGTTTTCGGTGTGTTGGGGTCCAAGTAAATCTACTGCCCAGATGGACTCCCAGGTATTTAGTTCCATTTTAAATTGATAGGATTACATTGTTTGGTTATAGTTGAGGTTTTTGTACTACTAAGGGTGAATTTTGTTTGGCCCTACCTACTTTCATTTATCTTGATTTTCCAATAATTATTAAACCTATTAAAATGGTTTAAGTGACATTTTATCTATGTTATGGGCTGCTCTATTTAGAGCCTTTGTATTGTGGTATAGTTTAATAAGTATAGTGGTTTCATCTACATAAGTCGATAAGTTGTAAGACTATTACTTTGGCCTTTTGAGAGAACATTGGTATAAATATTATAGATAGTTCAGGCGACAGGTTGCTTCCAGAAGAATGAAAACTATTATGTTTCAAATTGAAAAATCAGTCTTCAAGATAGGATTTTAAAATTGGATAAAATAAAGTGGTTAATATAATGATTTTAATTTTAAAAGCGATCCATCGTATTGGACACAATCAAACGTATATGTGCCATCAAGAAATACATTCGGGAAATGTTCTTTTTTCAAATACATTAATAATTAGGCATGGTTTTTTCGTTGGCTGTTTGGGCAAACTTTTTTGTGGGGTAATTCATAGTGTTAGTAATAAGCTTATTGGGCGGTAAGGAGTCACTAAGTGTTTTGGTTTATCTGGTTTGGAAATTAGTTTTATGATTGTGAGTTTCCATAATATTATTGAGGTAAAGTAGAATAGCATAAGTATTAAATTGTTAAATTGTAAATGCAAGCGATGAAAAGAAAGGTTTTTTTAATTAATTATTTTTAATAACAATATTTATTATACAATATCTTGTGATTTTTTTAAAATGTAGTTTTGTAATATAAAAAAAACAAGTGTCACTGCATATTTTGAATCGAGTGTTTTCGTATCTCATATACCGTGTAGACCATATAGTCGGGTTGTGTCTCAATAACAAATTTATGATTCATCGTTCTTGTTGAAAATACAATAAACCCAATTATGTACGCTGTGCGATTTGAAAAAAAAAACACTCTTTCACGGTTTACCATACTTGGTATAGGACTATACGAGTGTGCACCTTATAATTTAATATTGCCTTTAATATATTATGATGTTCGGTGCGGGTGATTCGTTCGGTTTTCAGTGCGGGCATTTTAGAATTTATATAAATAATGATATACACCTACGCGGGCGTTCAACGAGAAACACAGGCACAAGTGTACCGGTTAACAGCACGCTTGTATAGAACTACAGTGCAGGAAGGCTAAATTAGAAAGTAGGAGTTTGCGCACAACTATGCATTGTACAGACAAAACACCGAACGAGTCGATCTTAACAAGATTACCCATAGGCAGGTATAAAAAACCTTTATACACCAACGTTATAGTATTTTTCTTATTAACACTTTGTTCGTTTTTCATTATTAAGCGGGTAACTAACATTAATAATGATATTCAAATGCTGGGACGTGGAGTTTCTTGGATTATAAGCCATCAATATCCCAGGATTTTAGTGAAGGTATCTAGAAAATTTGTAAATTCTTGAATTTAATTGTGGCAATATTACGATAAACAATGATTTAAAACAACATGAATCTTTCTTAGCAGTTATTTTACATTCAAATAGGTATTCAATTAATGTATAGTTAAGTTTTAGACTAGGTACCCTTGGCTAAATACACTTTATGTAGTTGTGGTTAAAATGTAAAAAATGTAAAAAATCATAGATATTATCATTTTATTAACAATACTCGTAAATACCAAAATCATGTAAACATTTCGGTCATATGTTTAATGTCTATCATGTTAAATAAATTAAATTGTCATCATTTATCATATTGGTTATTCACTCATATATTGTGTTTCCCATATAAATTTAATAATTTTCAAATTTTCTAGATACTATGTTAGGTATAATGTACAATAGTTTATGTGTGCTATACACAACATTATACTGGTGTGCAATAATTGGTACGTGACTGTCTTACCTTATTTCGTTAGTCTAGTTTGTTAATAATCTTCAAATACTATTAAGCTACCAGTGTGAAAGTCGAAACTTTTGGTAGCCAACAAAACAAGACAAAACAATGACTAGTTTGTATGTAAACCCAAGCGATTTGTGATAAGTATAATTATAAGCTTAAATAAATGTGTGAATAATATACATATACCTGTGTGATTACTGATTTGTGTAAATATGGATTAATAAAATGTACAATACACCGTAGCCGCGAGAGACTCAAAATATTATAAAGTATAAAATCAAGTCATCTCAACAAGGTTTAACAATAAATAAATAAAAACCGTTACTCAAATAACATAAATAAAATCCGTTTAATTAGTATAAAAAGTGCATGCAAATCAAAAATAATATATTTACAATAAATATTCTATACAGTCTACACACAATCATTATTGCACTCGAGGTAAATCATAGCATATTAAATAATATAAAAAAGTATTAAGTTATAACTTCTACAAATGCAAAATTATTTACCTACGCAAACTTAATCTAATATCTATTCTCATAAATACAAAAACAATCTTTTATACTCGATAGTTCACTGTTGGTGATTTAAAAAATACTCATGTTTTAAATTATTATGTATAGAAAACTAGTTACAAAGTATGAGGTTATATCGGTAAAGACAAACACCTTATTAATATACCTATCTAACTTTAAATTGTCCTTAGCAAAACGAATTTGAAATAATTAGGCGTATCCTTGTTTATAGTTTGTATTATTTGGAAGGTTATTTTTTGTCCTACATTTATTAATACTTATATTTCGTATAAGCTATAGGCAAGTATACCAATATAGTGACTTACGCCAGTAGTTATTTTTGGGAATGCGGTTTTTTTTTTATTATCAAAGGATATATAGTCTTAAAAAATCTGAAAGTGGAATATAACTTCAAAACCTTTCCTAATCCTTTGACATGGATATTGTTGGAATTGAGTTTAATTTTAATTAAAATTGTAGAGCTGATGAATTGGGTAAATGATTTTTTTTTTAGAAATTATAAATTAACATTGTATTGCAACTATATTTGGAAAAAGGACAATTTATTAGTGTAATATTTAGTGAAATAAGTTGTGGCCATATTCATAATTTAAATACAAGATTAATCTGTTAATTGAAAAAAAAATGAAATAATAGATGCTATTAATAATAAACCGAATTCTAAAAACTAAAACTCTATAATTCTTTCGAACAAGGCTTGAGAAATGCTTTTTTTATGATTCAAAATAAACTGAGTGTATATAATATGATTATATTATTTTTTTATTCATTTTTTATTTTTATTTTAGACAATAAGTGTATTATAATCATATTACCTACCGTCTAAAATGAAAATACATTTCAAGAAATTATAAATAAAATTCTGTTTTGAAAAGATAGTTCATTTTATTCAAAACGTGGAATTCAAACTTCGGCGATTTTACAAAGAAAAGCTAATAAATAAACTTTAATATTAAGTATACTTCGGTATATGTGAATAATATATATTTTAATCTTCAATACTTTAATCGTATATTAGGTATAGGAAATCATTTTATTTAATATAGTAGTATAGTATATGAATAATAAATAGGACCATTGAAGTAGTTTAATCCGTTTATAGATTGAAAAAGTTTTAAGAAATGGTAAATAAATAGCATTTTGCTAAAATGCATTGGAATATATTATTAGGCATCTACGTGGCTTATATTATTTATTTATAATTTTTATGAGTAATAAATAAATCATTTTCACTAAAAGTATATTTAGATTGCTTCAGTATATATCACAGATTTTTATCTGTGTGTGTATAATTTAATGTTGTACCGTAAATAATTTTAATATAAAACAATTAGTATAATATATGTATACTGTATAAGTATAATGTACACATTTAGTAATAGCACCGTTATCTTGTTCAATCCAGTCGAGAAATGGTAGAGTTAAATTATAATTGTTTCATTTAGGTTAAGAAAAGAAATAATCGTAAACGGTACTAAGGTAATAATTATAATAATAATTTTTCAGGAAAAAATCAAGAATTTCCTACTTCAGCTAAAAATATTAAGTTATTTTTTAACAAAACAAAATAATTAATGAAAAATTAATAATAAAATATTATTATTTTCGAGGTAAATAATGTAGGTACAAAAAATAAAATCATCAAATTACTTTGAAGTATATGTTTGTATATTTTAACTAGTCATTTATGAGATTATGCAACGTATTGTATTTATGTCCACTATTATTTTACTTATACATTTTCTCAGAAACCAAACGAACTTGTTTGAATGTAGTGTAACGTTTGGACGATTAACAAACATGTCTTATCTTAATCTATATACTTAAATTCTATGTGCAATATACATAAATATAATATATACAAATTTTTATATACAAAACCCAAAAATTCATGCAGTTCACACCAAAACAGTCAATTAGTATAAATAAAAAAAAATAAATTTAGGAACATAATTTAATTGTGTCTTTTCAATAATTATTAGTTAAAGATTAATATTATTGTGACATCCGTTTTGTTATCCGCGGCAATATAATCATAAATTATTCTGGTTAATATTATACACCGTTCCCAAGGGAGGAAAAAAATTTACAAATTCGACCGATTCGGGTTAGGTCGACGGATAATAAACTTCTCCTCTGTTTTGGTTAGAGAAAAAAAAACACTTTTCCAATACGTCACCGACTAGTTGATTACTGTGATATAATATAGTATTATATTATGGGTAGGTGGTGTGCGTGAATGCAAAACTAAATACAAATAATCAGTGACGACACGGAATAATATATTATATAAAACAAACTATATACATCCACTAAAATACGGTGCTCAATATAATATTATTATATGGTCAAAGTAGTGCACTATACGCGTATAATAATTATACAACAGTGAGTGTGGCCACGCCGAAGTGTGTGTGTGTGTGTGTGTGTGTGTGTGTGTGTGTGATATAGAGCGTGTCTACCAAATATCCGTCCTGTCCGTAAAATGATTACCTTGAGTGGTCTCGCTGCGGGCCTTTTGTAGCGCCATCAGCATATTCGGGGACTTGGCGAGCAGCCTGGGACTGGTGTCGTTGGCCTGCCTGTAGCTGTCACTGCGCTTCACCACGGACTTGATCTCGTCCAGGCTCGTTTCCAGGCACTCAGTGGGATCTTGCATCCGGACGTAAGCGCCCCGCACCACCTCCTTGGGCGACAGACTCCGCCGGGTCGGCGATATCAGGGGCGACACGGGCTTGCCGGCGGCGTCGGTCGAACACCGGCCGCCGTCCGGCAACACGACCACCCGGGACGGGGCGGCCCGATGTCGGGCGAGCGCCGTGGCCACCGTCAGCGGTAGGCCCGCGGTCGTCTTGCAGGAGCGTCTCTGGCCCGGTGAACACGGCAGTGGAATGGGCACCAGCGGTTTCAATTGGACGGCTGCCGATGTTTTGCGTTCGGCTTGGAGTTTCGGCTTGGCAGCGACGATGTGTAGGGCGGAGTTGAGCACGCCGACGCCGTTCGGCTGTTTGGTCACCGGTCGGACGTTCAACGGAGAACGGGGTATGACCTGAAGAAACACAGACAAATCAATCAATAAAAACCGTTATTAGTGTGGTTAGGTACAGTATGGTGATATACTATGGTATAAAGCTAACTGTCATCATCCACGTAGATTGTTTGTATACCTACGCAATATTAATTTTATAGACGGAACATCGGCTCAATAACTGGGTACTTTCAACTCGGAACGTTGTCTCGCGAAGATTTTTGCGAGTGAGTCCACGATCGAGTATTCGAGTTGATGTGCCAGATCGGTTATGGCAGTGATATTTTTATATCGATAACAGACACTTAACGTTATAGTTGGGAAAATGAAAGTTAATCAAATTTTGGAAGACATATCGTAGATTTTTTGGAATATTACCTAAACAATCGTTTGAGAAAAATAAACCATAGGTACGGGCAAATTAAATATCTCAAAATGTACTCAACCTATTGACTGGGCGATGACTTCAATAATAATAATGTTATTTTTCGTTTTTACGATATAAATTTTTGTCTCTAAAATCGAACTAGAAACAACTGTTCTGCAACCGGTTAGAGTTATAAAGATTCATGTTTACGATTAACGAAACAATACACCAACCAGCGTGTATAATGACACCACGGGACCCTAGTGGTATGAGGACTTAGATTCAAAATTTAAGCTTATCTACTTAAATTCTAATCCTAGTTAGAGTTTCGTCAGAAGGTAGCGTCAAAATTCGTTGGCGAAACATCCCCTCGACAAACATAGACGTTGTATTTTAACACGAGAGAAGCTACAGCACACTGTGTAGAATATAGATCAAAACTATATTAATCCAATTATAAGTTTTCGGTACGAGTTTCACCTGAAGCGTTCCGTCTAGCGAGTAATAATAATTGTATGCACGAAATAATAAGCCCCGTGTGACATGTTATTAATATTTAATATACTGTATAGTACACGGACGACACGCCGGAAATGTCTCGATGCTTACTTGTGACAAAACACTGTTGCTGTGATCGTTGACAGGCAGTGGCCGGACGTTGGCGTTCACGCAAGGACCGGGCTCGAACGTGTTGGTCGTGTGAGTCTTCTTCCGGCGCTTCAAGCTGTCCGACGTGTATATGACTCGGCCTTCGGCGTTCAGCGTCACTCGGGCGCCCGCCGGCCTCTGCCGCTCGGTCGTGCCCACGGCGGGCAGCTCGTCCAGGTGCACGAACCCCTTGCACGTCGCCGGTTCAGGGGGCTCGACGGTGGTCTTCACCGGTTCCGGTATCGCGTAGTGCGCCAGTGTGACGTACTCACCGTAGTCGTCCGTGTCCGGCACGATCGCCCTTACGGCAGCGGTGCTCGTCTTCAGGCTCACCTCGTCATCGCTCATCGGCGGAGTGATGACGCACATGGACGGTATGCGGCTGGTGTTGATGGTAGTCTTGACCCGGAGCCTCTCCACCCGGTCGACGCCCTCCAAGTCGGAACACTCGGACATCTCCAGGTCGACAGACGGGTTCGTCACAGAGTCCACCGGCGAACTGCAAGTGTTGTGCCCGCTGTCCGGCGAGTCACCGCCGCCGCCGTGTTCCAGACACGACCTGGGCTTGACATCGATCATCAGCCCCTCCTCCTTGTACCTGGTCACGTTCTCCTTGGTCAGCCGGGACGGAGCCGTTTTCGATTTGTCGTACAGCGCCATCGAGGAGTCCTTCGGTCCGTGCGCGTTGTTCCGATCGGGCAGCGAGCCGCCGTAAGCGATGTCCGCCGACCGATCCGACAGCTTGCTGCCACCCCTCTCCGGCACATTCGGAGGCGACACCATCAGTGACGTGCACACGGTGCCGGCCGAGCTCGCCGTGGTCGAAGTGCTTCCCCGGCCAAAGACGTCGTACTCGCTCTCGGCGGAAGACGACTGGAAACTTGGCGTAAGCGCCGACGTGGAGTGTAACGCGGACATCGGCTGCGGCGGATCCTCTTCCCGGAGCGTCTTCAGACCGCTGTCCACGTGGAACGACGTGTAGTAACCCTCGGTATCGCAAGAATACGTGGAGCCGGTCTCACCTTCGTCGCTGGTCACCGAACTTCCCCCATGGTACGTCGGTTTCGTGCTTCCGCTGCAACTGCTAACGCTAGACCTGAAAACAAACGTGTGCGGGTCGTATTATAGGTAGGTATATCACAATAATATTATAATATTATCGCTGTTCATTTTCATTCGTATATGTATTATATTTTGCTATTTAAAACACTTACCACTTATCGTATTTTTATAACAGCACTATAATATATACCTAAGTTAATTTTTGATATTATCATTATTCATTATTTTTTTAATTTATCGTATTTTTAATTATTTACTTTAACCACTGCTCTTCATCTCATTCCAGCGTCACGATTTTAAAATATTATACAATTATACAATCTTTATCATTCATGCATAGAATTATTCATGTTGGATATTGCATACTAGGTTGTGATTTAATTTTTAAATTAATATTTTTCCGATTTGTTATTGTGTTATTTTTTTACATTTATGTACACCTGAAGAATATTGTATGTATTAATTGTATACGTATATTTTGAATTTTTATACAATATAAATAATATATAGGTATCATTTTTATATTTTAACAAATTTGATTGATCTAGGTTCTACTTTAAAAATCAATTCTAAAACTGGGTATTTTATAGGTAATATATAGTATTAGTATGTACTTAAATAGTAGGTGTCAGATCAATTAAATGTCTTGTTACATCATTACTATATTCATTAACATTTCTGTCGAGTCTATATCAGTTTAGATTAGTTATTCTCAACCTAGGGATTATGGCCGCCTCAGAGGGCATCAACTAGTTGTTTTATGTCACCAGTTGGTTAGTTGTAATAAGCTGTGTATATGTGCATATTATATTTAAGTAAGAAAAAATATTGTAAAATCTAATTTTTAATGCTGGTCACTTAAAACATTAAGAATCACTGGTTTAGATAATATATAGATTATAGACTGGGGGACGAGGTGGCCGAGCGGTCTAACGCGTCGGATTCGGCACAGCCGGTCCTGAGTTCGATCCCCGGCCACCGGGCGGCATTTTTCTCCGGGCAGTCACGGTGTCCGGAGAACAAGTGGCGCCATCCCCCACCCGGGCATGGCAGATACCTACGGGTGCCCACTAAAAAAATCTGCCAAACCCACACGAGTTCACTCAAAAACAAACAAACCACAGTTCCCTCCCCCACAGTACCACAGGCTAATAACCTTAGTAGCTGAAGCCTTAAAAACCCAAAAAAAAAAAAAAAAAAGATTATAGACTAATTAGATCTGTACCGTGTGAACGTACATAATTACCTATTACAATTCGTAATAGTATTAATATAAATTAGGTACAAAAAATACGTTAACAATGAGTTTCAAAATTCCTGATAATTTTTTCATTATAGAATATAACACAACTATTATAATAACTGTTAACATTAAAAAAAAGTGTATCTAAATATTTTCTATTCACATAAATATTTTTTTTTTTTTTTTGTATTGGAAATGTGTGAACAATATAATGGGGTGTCTTATCTCCAGTCTATGTATACATTAAGCGTACTGGCATTTAAAAATATAGTAGTTTTATATGAATGTGTCTGGTTATGTTAGATTGTTTGTATACTGATCAGATATATTATGCTCTTAGCTTTATTTAAAAGGTATACATGTTTTCATACAGTTCTTTATTAGTATTATTTTAACATTTTAAGTTAAATATATTATAAAATTGATATTTACTTAATTATTTACATACCTGTATATAATGTTTATAGTTAACATTGGAACCTAACTCTGTAAGAATTTTAAAAAATGGGTTCTTAATTATTTTTAAAATATTAGAGTAATTTTTAGTACCTACGCGTTTTCAAAAAAAAATTACTTGTTGATATTTTTTACATTAACGGATGCTTAAGAAAAAAAAATGTATGACTCCTAATATATATAACTTCAGCACTATTTAAATCATGAGATAATAAAATTGTGTATTGATCATACCTTGGTATGTGACTAGTCGAAGTAGATTGTCCACTCTCTGAACTTGCAGACCAATTTCCAGATGAAGAATGTACTGGTTCGTCTTTATCCCATTTTCTTCTAGCCAACCCAACTCTTCCTTTATCTCTAAGTTTTACTGCTGCCGACGATGTCGGTTCTATGTTTTTAAGTTGTTTTAATCTCATTCTTCCCCAATCTTTCAACAAATCAAGGTTTGACCTTTTCTCAGTTACCACAACGGTCGTGCTGCTGGACACGATGTCATCAGAGTCTTTATTACTATCAGATAATGAACTAAAAATAAAAATAAATATGTTATTTAGAGGTTCAAAATTTCGATTAAATCAAGTATAGTATACCCAATAACGGCTTCTAATTCTTTTTGATCGGTTCCAGCAATCGTATTCCTCCTCTTGCCTCTGGGTCTTCTGCTCTTTCGTCGTCTAACAGACGTTTCATATTCAACGTTCTGCAGAGATCTTCTAAGCGCGCTCATACGGTTAAAACTCCTGCCGGATACGTCAACTTCGACTATTTGCGGCGGGAATCTGAAAAAAAAAATTAAATATGTTTGTGTAATGAAATAAAAATCAATATTGACAGAAAATGTGTACGAGTATTGTATTATTGTGATATAAAATATTATCACTTACTTATGTGCGATGACCTGCTGCTGTTCTTCAGGCGATGGAAGCGTGTGGTCAGTCTGATCTTCTGAAACCGGACTCGGATCTCTAGGTATCCTTGATGAACAATCAGGAGCTACGGTTATATCTCCAAGAACTTCTTCCGATGTCCATGGACGGAGACTGGTGATTGCCGCAGGCTGCAATGTAATAATATAATGTATAAAACTTATCAAATAGAATTACGATTTGGACGTATCATTGTCTGTGATTTTAAAATTAAGTGTAAGTATATTGCAATAATATATAAATTATGTAAGTGGACATTTTTTGTTGTAGCATTGTAACGTTTCGTGTAAGAGTGTGTACAATGCTTAAACGTTAAATAAAATATTTTTAAACACCCATAATTTATTATTTTAAACATTTCAAAGGATGATTGTTGTTTATAATAATAAAATACCAAAGTGTTTTATGTAGGTACTTAAAATATATCTAACGGAATGCACATGGTTGGTGTCCGAATCGAATGAATATATTGTTTTGTACATCTAACAACACAAATGCAACCTTGACCGGTACAATTGAGAATAGTCTGTAACGTTTGTCTTCCAATGAAACACTGTATGAGTATTCAGATGATTCAAGGGCAGGTTCGAGTATAATAAAACTTTCTCGATGTAATTTTTGCCCCAATTATATGCCTACCTAATTCAAAATTTGTGTTTTTTATTCTACCCGTATTACTTTTAACCAGTAAAAAAAAAAAAAACAAGTTAAAGGTAACAGAAAAATTAGGACAATGATTTGTTCATACATATACTTTTTTATCGTGAGCTAATTTCATTCAATTAATACAGTGGAATACATTATAACGTAAATGGATCACCAGCTGGTATTAAAAAATAAATAGGTAGGTAAGTACCTACTCTTATTTTTAACGTCAATATACATTATAAATTATATGTTTAAGCACTTTACATAATATTATTCATGTTTAATTGCTCATGCTTCATTATGTAATCTTTTAGTTTTTAAAATTGATAGGTATCAACAATTATTAAAATTTGCTGAAACAGGTTATATTTGTATATATATACCTATTGTTTTTATACATTTAGGTATCGAATTTTTTATAAAATGAGTGAACGAAAAATTGTACAATGAACAATAGAAGAAATAAATTGTTATTCTTAAAATGTAATACAATGTTTAGTTTTATGAGTCGATTATCATTTGCCCCTAACCACCCATGCTCAACACACCTGTTGCATCCGGTTTTAATTAATCTTTTCCTCTTACAAAAGTTTATATTTTTTTTAAATATTTTTTTTTCGTACTAACTGTTGTGCGTGCAACAAAACAGTTAGCGTCATAAAACACATTTAATATCCGTCGAATAATTAAATTCACACAGGCCTCAGTCATTTCAACAGTTGAGACCCTTTATTGCTGCATATGATAATATACATAATATATAAATATAATATATTTTATTATCTTTACATATTATAATTGTATATTGTATATACGTGATCTGGTAGAATTTAAGAAAATCGTCATTTTATTTGTTTATATTAACGCTCAAAATATTAATAACTGTGCCGAAAACTTGCATAGGATGTTGAAATAACGGTCGTACTCCGTGCTATGAATTTTGATCTTATCATTAATATCGAAACGACCATTTTCAACGTACAAGTATTTTGTAGGTATGCGTGTTTGAAAGTTACTAATGCGCGTAATATAAAATGATTTTATTGCCGTTAAATCGAACTGAGATAAAACGTTTAATGTCGTTATAGATGCTTTGTAATTTGTATAATAAAAACATTATTATATTAATGGATATCGACGTTTTATTTTTTATAGTACTTATATTATTATTTTAGACTATCGTATATGCGTATAGTTTTTTATTTCGTTAAGTTATTGATGTTACTAAATCTATAACATTATAAATAGTATAAATAATATTATAAATAAACAAACGTTTAAAGTGTTAGAACCACCAGAACTATTATCCAAACATAAAAATAATATGAATAATATTAAATAACGGACCTTTCTAAGTTCTATGTCGTCCGGTAAGAGAATGTCGTCCAGTGATCGCTTCCTTCTCGATAATCGATGGACGTGAGGTTTGTTGGCATATACTTTACTCGGTACTCCTGCTTGATCGTAGAGCCTTTTAACCCAAATAGGTCTATTTTCTGCCAACAATAAATTCTTGCTCTCCACTTGCCTGCTCTTAAAATGTTCTGTTTTCAGACTGAACGCTGTCAGGTCACTTTCAGCTGCAAAAAAAAAAACATAATATTATAATACTAGAAACATTAGACATACGTTGGTACAACGATGTACTATAGAATTACCACAATCATCACATTACACGTACGACCCTACCTATATAATTTAATATTTTGAGGTAACAATAAGTTTCTTTACCAAGGTCGGTGTTTATATGTACTGCACTAAGATGCTCTCACGAGCAAATCAATTCATGAAATGCAAATTTAAATCTAGCTAAAATTATTATGATTACTGTATTAGTTCAATGGTCCCATTTCACCCGCGGTGTATTTCATTTGAAATCTCGTTCTGTTGTTACTTTGTAATACACGTGTAAGTTACAAGTAATAGGAGATATATATTTAAACATTTTTTTTTTTTTGAAGCACGTTCGATTTATCGTGATCACTAAGCGCACATCTGTTAAGAGAAATTATTTCTATTTTCTATTATTTACACCATAGCTCACAAGTTGCATATATTATGGCTACCGGTGAAAGTTTACGGATATACATGATGTTTATGGACGTAATTAGTTTTGCATAGGTAAATACGAACAGAAACCTATCCCTGAAATACCATCCTACCGACAATTTATTGTTTTCTATGTTGCTGGTTTACTTAATATTGTGATTTTTTTGGTTTTATTATCAATGCAACTTAATGCTTTAGTGATACATAATTGAAAGTCGTGATACTTAAAATATTATTTACTTGATATAATAATATGTAAATAGTTAATATATAAGTATACAATATACATAGGTATTTATTCACTGTGAAATATAAAAATATAGTTAAAAAAAAAAAATAAAACTATCTAAAAGAATTGGGAGAATAAAGTTAAAAAACTCTACTTAGTGACGAGTTGACTGAAAAACGGAATAAACCCTGGCCATGAAAAAGGAAGTATATGAAATTCAAATAACTTTTTTAAGTAGGTATCTTATAAATTTAAAATAAATGTAATTGTTGAGCTACAATTATAAGCAAAAGCTTATTTAAAAAAAATATATAAAATTATTGTTTGGAAAATCTATTTTATTGAATTAAATGAGTACCTATTCACGTAATATTGTTTTAATATTAAATATTATTTATTTTTGTTGCTGTGTAACAATATAAGTATTTATAATTTTGTTTAAACGTGTTATAATAATTGAATATTACGATATAAGCTTGTTGAATTATTATTACATAATTGTAATTTGTAAATACACAGCTTAATAAAAATATAATATGGTTAAAACATCATGCTTCTTCAAAACTCGATGTTTTTTACCATTAAAGGTAAAAATAATCTTAAATATTAATGTTTTTAGATAAACAATAAAATAAAATTAGCTATAGGTATACTAATAAATAAAAACTTATGGTTTTTTCGAGGTCATACTTCAGGTTTTATTTCTCATCTTTTTAATGTAGGACACCCAATTTGCATTAAGATTACGAGTATTATTTTAATCATTAATAATTGTATACACATTATATTATGTTATTTAATTGTATATCAGTTTTGATAAAACATAATCAAGGGTTAAACTAACCATCGATTTTTGTCTTGTGCTTAAGCTACAAAAATATTTCAAGTGTGTTTTACTTTTTAAACAATACCTATGCGTTATTGAAAAAACCAAGATTTAAATAATAATACATTGTTAAAATAAGTCAGAATTTTTTTTTTATTATGCCTTAAGATTGGTTTTCATTATAAATACATATCTGGCATATAGTGGGATAGCTTTACGTACATATTGTACCACCGCTACCACATAATATTATATAAATAAATAAATAAAATTAATAGTTTAAGGTATATATTGATGATTTTGGTATCAACAAAACTAGTTCAAAAAGACAACTCGTGATGTGTTAATTGAGTATGATATAATAATGATTTCAGGTTTTTATGCAATGCATGCGTAAGTGGCGTAACCATGTGCAAATAAAACACAAGAACAATAATTATTATTATGTCACAACTTTTTTAATAAATTCGCAAACATAACTGATTTGATATATTTGTATACAAATTAATTTAAATGAACAGTATATAATACTAGGAACTGTATTTTTTCTCAACAGCGCAATAAAAAAACAAAACGAATCCTGAAAGTGACAGGCAAAAACTGAGTGAAATTAAATTTTGAATTAAAAACAATAAATAAGTACAAAACAATTATTTTTTATTATTGTCTGGTAGACAATAAAACGTAGTACTTTATGTGGCTTAACACAATTTTATAAGTAAACCACAAACATCATACCTACCATATTATTGTAAGGTACTTTATAAAGTCGTACTTGTATGGAGGCATGTGTCAACTACCGACTTTGAACCGTCATAATAATATAGATAAGGTGCTACATGCGATTATCGCGATAGTCAAAACATCCTATTTATTATATTATTACGTCGTACGACGAGTTACCCGACACCACAGATATTTATCGGGCTTTATTAATAACCATGCTGCAGCTTAGCCGAACGGGAAAGCTCACTAACCAAATGTTTGATTTCATCTGCTATTTTTGGGATTCGAAAATTCGTAAGTGGAATAGCTCACGGAAACCATATAATATACCGTATGTACAATATATTGTATTAGAATGCTGTAGGTAGTCTTAAAGCTATTTCGTAAACTTGCTCATATTGCTAATTCCGTTGTATGTTTAAGATTTACTCAAATTATAGTGATTTTTGGAATTTTTATGTATACTTTAAGACCATATTTTCAAATAATTTATGTTTTTTTTGTTCTCTAGTGGTATTACGTCGGAAACGTTGACTGCCTATTGAAATATAGTTTGAACGATCATAGTTTCTGACTTATTCAATGAATACTAATATTACGATGTCTATTGAATATTTGAATTCATCAATTAATACAATATTTTAAAATATAAGACGTACAACCTAATTTGAAAAAATGAACTTGACTAAATATAACCGATCTATACATACTAACTGTCATTTTATGATGCGCAAAACATAATATATTATGACACGGCCAACACGACATCGCTACACCACACATTGTTTGCGTTCGACACAATCATACTATTTTTATTTATCGTTGGCCGAAAAATGCAATTAATTATTATCCAGACCGGGTCCACTCGCGCTTATCGGCTCTTGTCCGGAGGCCGAGCGTCTTCACCACCGCCGCCGCCGCATCTCCTTTCACGTGACCGCCGCCGCGCCGTTGGCATATATAGGTAGGTAATAGGCATACTGCAGCGCATACTATATGCTCGACACTATAATACGACTAGAGGGTACCTATATATAATAATATATATACTATTACACTATAATACTGTACTGTATAGCTATTACTACTGCAACTATAATATATTACAGTATATACGGAGCGGGTTCGGTGAACTCCTCGCCGAGCGGCCGTCGCCTGTAACAGCGCACGCACAACGGACGTTCTCATATGAGTGTTGTGTGTCTATAAAAGGCATGGACCGCGTACACGTCTTATATTAAGTACTGTATAGTCGCGGGGACTAAACGGGACCGGTCCGTCTCGGGTCGACCGGTATACGTGTGGTTGTAGCGATACACTATAGCTGGTATATATACATACATAGCTGGTACGCGACATCACAGACGCGACGGTTGACGAGAAAGACCAGAGATAGAGACAAACCACTCGGGTACGGAGAGACAGAGATAGATAGAGAGAGAGAGAAACAACCTCGAGGGGGTGAGGCGGAGAGAGACAGAGTGAGAGAATGAGCAAGAGTGAGAGAAAGGACGTCGTCGGTGGAAAGAAACGCCGCCTGTGTGTAAAACGAACGTGATGCGATTTCGAAAAATATAATGTCTACTACGTCGTCTTCTCTAGCCGTATACTTAATCGTAATCCTTTTGTCGCGCGGGCACCCGAATCGTGGGAAAACGGTCCGACGATTTCGACACACCGTGGCGATTATTAACGGGGATCTAAGTAGCTATGGTATCTCTACGAATGAAATTGTATATATATTATAATATAAAGTACCTATGTACGTATGAAATATAATTGCAAAGCTGCAGGTTGCATATTATTAGTATCATGATATCTATTTGTTTTCTGTTTTTTTTTTTCATTTCGTTGCAGTTGTTTTTTTAGTTTTTGTTTCCCGGGTATAACGCTATATTATAACGATAAATCTTTCACGACGAGTTGTTGCCGATGTGCATGCGAATCGCGAAATCGAACACGTGCGCACCCCGAGAAGACGGCCCGAGGTCGGGCCACTTTTGGCAACGCTCGCGAGTCAAGACTATTTTTACTGCGATCGACTGACCTCGCTCAAATCAAACGCGCGAAAAGTAAGTCAAAAGATGTGTAAACAAAATTATTTTTAGACGACGAGTAAAACCTCGCGGTCCGTACAGGACGGGTCCCACTATCGTTGATAGCGACTTTCGGGCCGAAAGTTGAATAACACAAGGTCACCAAACGTAACATAAACAGTGTGGATGCGATACGAATAGCAGGCATAATATGTTGACACACCAAGCTAGTTTTTTTTTGTGGCGATCCATTGTACTATTTTTTATTTCAAGAATTCTGTGAATATCGATAGGAATAGGTACGATTGCGACTAATTTTATTGCACGGTTAATTAAAGCACCGATACTTCAGGGGTCTGGAAAAAACCTCAACCATTTAATCTTATCATTGTGCTATTTTAAACTTGTGTTGACAAAAATTTTGTTCACATTACTGACCAGCTATTTAGTAACCCACATAATATAAAATTGATGGATGATCAGTAATATATTTTAACAATAATGAATAATCATTATTCTTAAGTATTTTGCGATAAAAGTTGGTTTGATGTCATAGATATTAAAATAAAATACATCCGAAATTAATCTGTTAAATACTTACCGCATTAGTTATTAGTTATTACTAATTACTTATTACTATCGTTTATCAACATCATTTAATGAAAATTAGATACTTCACTACTTCTTAATAGTCCATTATATTATAGTGTTGTA